AATGAGGAGCTGCAGATGCAAAGGTCTAGAGAAAGGACTGGCCAGTGCTGGGCCAGGTGGGCTGAACTGGGAGGGCACTGGTCTGCTGGAGGAAGGAGCCCACAGAAGGACCCTGACATGCATGGGGTATGTGTTTCCTGGTCTATGAAGTGGGGGTATGTGTCCCCCCCACTCTACCATCCTCTCAAGATTGATATAAGAGACCAAATTTGGGGGTGACAGGCACATCTGCAGTTAAGGCTCCTGTCCCTGGGGGGAAGCCACTGGGTCATGTCCATGTACCAGCTCATCAAGGCCCTCCCTGGGCCAAGGGCCCAACGCCTGTGTCTGGTGCCTCATGGTCTCCATGGCCCTCCTTCCTCACAGGAGCCCACTGCCCAGACTCTGGGACTCAGTCACATGGGCCTGGCTGGGGAGAGTGACAGCATAGGCTCTGGTGACCCTCCGAACCCCAGGTGAGGTAGTGACATGCGTCAGTCTGTCCCGGACTGTCCAGGGTTATACCTGGTGCTCTTGGCATAATTATAAGCAGCACCCTTAGCTCTCAAAAGCATCCCGACTTGGGTGGTAAATTAAGTGATCACCTTATTCTAGACCCAAATGAGCTGTCACAGTGGTGGAATATGGGTCCTGGGACAGGCACTGGGAGCCCCTTCAAGTCAGAGGCCCCAGGCTTCCGACTGAGGCAGACCCACCTTCTGCACTGATACCCACACCTCCTTTGCTTCACAGTGGGAACCAGGACGTCATACCAGCCAGTGTCCCCTGGCCGCCTCTCCAAGGAGATCAACCAGAAGAACTTCAATAATCTCTATGGCACCAAAGGTAGGGGGTGGCTCAGCTTCAGGTGGGCAGTGCCGTGTGGCAGGAGGAGGGAGCTGGGCCATGGGCAGGGGGCTGGGCTTCCCAGGGTGGGGTGAATGTGGGGATCTGGGGTGGTCTGTAAGCTCAGAGATGGATGGGGGGTCCTACTGAGCTTAAAGGGTGTGTGTACGTGTGCACGTGTGCGACACTGTTGATCGGTCTGCAGGAAAGGCAGAGGGCACTGCAGAAACCCCTGAGTCCAGGGGACCCTCTCCTTGAGGGAGGAGTGGGGAACTGGAGCCTGGGGCTAGGTGTGGAGATTCCTTTGGCAGGTACAGGGGTGAGGAGCCATTACTGACCTGTGTCCTTCCGCTTCACAAAGTTGTCTAGTGCTCAAGACAAACGAGTGTAGCTGTAGAGGGAAAAGGTGGCAGGACATGGAACGGGCCCACCCCTGGAAATCAGGGAGGTGTTACTGCCATGTGAGGCAAGTGAGGGACAAGCCCGAAGACCCAGAAGAGATGAAATGGGAGCGGAGACCTGTCTTCCCCAGCGAGAGCTGCCATGTGCAGTCTCTGCCCCGCGTACAGGGTTTCCATCATGCCCAGGGCAGGCCATGTGCTCAGTGAGCCCAGGCTCCGGGGGGCCCTGGTCCCACCCTGGGGGCTCCTTGGTGCTAACCAGCCATGTGCGGAGAGGGAGGAGACTGAGCCAGCTCCACCAGAGCCCCCACCTCGGACACAGAACTGGAAGGTCTGAAGAGGCAAAGAAGGGAGTGATGGGGGTACCCTTCAGTGAGGACAAGGCCTGGAGATCTGGAAGGTCAGGGGCACCTATGTGCAGGGCAATGCCAGGCTTGTGTCCAGGATTAGATTCACATTATACCATCATATGCATGGCAGACTGATCTGTGTGAGGCAAAGCTGGGCCTGTCCTACTCACTGCTGCGGCCCCAGGCCCAGAAGAAGGGGCTTAGGAAACATTTGTTGAAAGGAGTGGACAAATGGGTGAGGGAATGAAAAGGCAGGCACAGGGGCCCTCAGAGCCTTGGGGGCATGTGCTCGCTGAGGTCCATGCTGCAGAGACTTCCTGGGGACCCTGTGGGAGGGGCTTCACCCTGGAGCAGGTGGGCAGCCCCAGCCGCCCCTGACTGTGGAGCCCCAATGTCAGCCCCAGCCCACCCTGCAGACGCCTGTGGGAGAAGCTGTTCAGGACTGGGGACTCTACATGAAGTGAGCTTCATAAGGCCTCCTGGGCCTGGTGGAGGGAAGGGCCCGAGAAAGGTGAAGCATCCATGGGACCCTGAGTGCCACCCCCCACTGCTCGAATGCCCTAGTGGTGACCTCACACCCTCCCCACTGCCTCCTTTCCTCAAGACCTAGGGACCTTGGTGAACAGAATTCCAGGGGTTGTATCAGCTGCCCCTGTCCTCAAGTTCATCACGTGTTTATATTTATTTGTTCTCTTGCTCATTCATTCATCTGTCAACCATACAACAAACACCTCTGGGCACCAGACTCTGAGCCAGGCACAGGTGTGAGAGCCCCACGGAGCCCAGTGTGGGAGGCAATCGAGCATGCAGCTGCAGCCCAGGGCAGGCGTGTGGGTGAGGTGGGCGTGGGCTGAAGTACACACAGACTTGCGGAAATGACAGGGAAGCTGACACCTGAAGACCCAACACATGAAATTGCTAAGGGTGTGGGTGCATTTAGAATATCCTGGGCAGAAGACCTGGTCCACGCAAAAAGCCCAGGGCAAGAGAGAGTGTGCTGTGTGCAAGGGACTCAGAGGGGGCAGCCTGGTGGGCCGCTGAGCGATGGAGGGAGAGGAAAGAGGGGACACAGGGAGTGGAGCCTGTGGCCAGGGTGGTGGCAGCAGCCCCCGAAAGGCTATGGGCCATGCTTTATTGGCTTTGGACCTTCATCTGAGAACAGTGCACCTTTAGGTAGGTCAGGGACATGGCAACATTTTATAGTTCGGAAGGACAGCTTCCCTGGCAAGAGGCGTTATCCTGCTCGCGACCCTGAGGGATGACGCCTGTCCTCTGCCTGGCCAGGTAACTACACGTCCCGGGTGTGGGAGTTCTCCTCCACTGTGCAGAGCCCCGACGACCTGCCCGCAGTCCAAGGCAGCTCCTCCTTCTCCCTGAAAGGTGAGCTCTGCAACCCTCGCCCATCTTTGCCTTTCCTGTCACCCACCAAGCCCCGCATCTGTCCCTGCCCCTTCACTCACAAGTTCCTCACCTTCAAGGGAACAGAGCCCTGACTGAGAGCTGGAGAGCTGCCACCATCCATGTCTTCACTGTCAAGGCCACAGCATTTTCAGAACCTGTGTAATCACACTGCTCCCTAGGGACACGCTGTGATAACTGGCCTCCATGTCAGGGAGATGGGGACATGCCATGCTCTCTACAACCCCCACCCCAGACATCCCCAGGGTGCTGTGGCCAGGCTGGCTCCCAGTGGTCCTACTGCAGAAAGCCTATCTAACTTTGCTCACTCAGTGACTCCAGCCTCAGCGGACTCCCTAGAGTCCTGCATCAACATTTCAAAGAGCCAGAGTCCAGTGAGCTCCTTTGGGAAAAGTGGCCCGAGGTGATCTCTAGGGCCTCCACGTCGGATTCTGTTCCCCAGAACTCTCAGACAAGGCTGAGGAGTCAATGCCTCCTGTCTCCTGGGGTTGAGCCATTTTGAGGGGGAGGCTTGAGCCAAACCCCAGCTCACATTTGGACCCAGGACCTCATGTCTCTTTGGAAATGTCCAGGTGACAGCCCCGGTGAGCTGTGTGGGATTAACCCAGCCTGTCTTCTGGCACCCAAGCTATCTGGCCTGGAAGAAAAGACGGGCATCTGGGTGGGCTTAGGGAGGGGACGAGGCATTGCAGGGCAGACAGGCACCCAAGCAGCAGCCCCTGAAGGTGGCTTTATCACCCAGCTGTCCCTTCCCAGTGGGATCCCAGCCTATGCCTGGGGCAGAGAGTTTTGGAATGATCAGCAAGGTGCAGGAGAAGGGAATAGGATTCGGGGTCCCAGCCTACAGGAACCCCTGGGAAACTCTGGGATCTCCTGTGGCCACTCTGGCTCCTAACAGGCCCCTCCCTGCTCTATGGTCAAGCCCAAATCAAGGCCACCCAGCAGGTGTGATACGTTAGTGCTCCTCAGTGTCTCCCCATCAATCTGCAGAGCCTCTGCTGTGGGCTTTACCTTAGGAGAACCCCTCCTCAAATATGCCATGTCCTTCAGGAATAGCCCAGGGACATCTGCAGTCACTGTCATGCAGATCAGCTCACCAGACCCACTGGGAGTGGCCTTGGTGGGGTTCTGGGCAGGGCTGCATGGGTGCAAGGAGCACACCACCTGTGAGGACCACCCCCACCTATTCCCCCAGCTCTAGGGGATGCAGAGGACATGCTCTGAGTGCCCAGCTAGGGCTGGGCAAGGGCTGTGGAATGGCAGGGTGAGATGTGACTCCCCTTGGCCCCTCCTGAAACCAACACCCTGCTGCTAATGCCTTTCTCTCTCCCAGCAGGTGCTGGGAGATTCCCCTCTCAGTTCACCACCTTGGGACAGGCCACCACAGAGCTTCCCAAACCATTGGACACCAATGGGCTGTTTAAAAATAATTCTGGTACCTGTTAATTTCCCATCCCTCCCCTTTCTCTCCCCACTGGGGCAGGTGGAACAGCCTGTGGGGCCTCTCCTAGGGTATCCTGGTCCCTCCTCCCAGAGCTCTCTGGAAGAGAGGTGAATGCCCCATTGTCATCCTTGCTGCCCCTGCCCTTTACTTCTACCTGCTGCATAAGGCTGGCCTCCCAGACCCTCCACACAGCCCCATCCTTACCTCTCTTGTGGCTTGTGTGGTTGTCTTCCTGGGAATGGAGAAGTGAGACCTGAATTCCCTCCTGCTTAGGGTCAGTAGGAACCTCTCTTTCCAAGGCTGTCCCATCGCCAGTTACAGGAAGAGACCTGGGTTTTCTGCTTTGTTTCTGCCCCCTTGCCAAGTGACAAGCCAGGGAAGGGCCAGCTGGCTGGCATCCTGGCAGTGCTGCAGGTGTCTGCGTCTGACCAGCTTAAAGTTCCTAGAGCAGGCCAGGCCAGGGCTCTAGGTGGCCCCAGCCAGGGACAGATCCTGTTGGTTGATTTATTTTTTTAAAACTTGTTTTGACCTTGGATCCCACACTTTTTTAAAAAAATCCTCACCTGAGGATATGTTTATTGATTTTTAGACAGAGGGGAAGAGAGAGAAAAAGAGAGACGTTGATCAGCTGCCTCCCGCATGTGCCCCAGCCAGGAATCGAACCTGCCACCCTTAGGTGCATGGGACAATGCTCCAATCAGCCGAGCCACCATCAGACCCTATTGATTTCTTGAGTTCCTCTGCATCAAGGTTGCAGCCTTTTCTTTCCAAGGCGCCACTCCTGTCCCCGCAGGTGGATGGCTGACACTGAGTGCTCTGCACAGTCCTGTGGACACAGACCTCCCTGGGGAGCCCCACCCTGCACCAGTGCCCAGTGCTCCAGGCCCCTGGGCCACAGCCACATGCAGATCACTGGCCCTTGCGGAGCCCATCCTTCTGCTCTGAAGTGGGGGAGAGGTAGCAGAACTGGGCAGGAGGAACGTGAGGGTGGGGTTTGGAGTCCAGCAAAACCTGGGTTCAAATCCTGTTGATTAGCTGTGCAGCTCGGGGCAAACTGCTGAGCTCACAGAAACAGTGTGGAGGCCCAGTGAGACATGTGCTAAGTCCCAGCACAGTGCTCGGCACGACCTGGATTTGGGGGTGACACTCCCCTGCTGCCTGGCCCAGCCCACCTCGCCTGCTCCTCCTCTTTCTGTCTGCCTTGGGCCACCTCCCTTTGTCCAGCCTCCCCAGATTTCCCATGGAGGGACCTGGGTGCTGCATGCCTCTTCAGGGTGGCAATACTTGGTAATGGGATGGATGGAGCTTGGTGATCACTTTGGGGATGGCAGCTACACCCTGGGGGCCCTGAGCACCTGCCATGCTTTCTCTGACCAGAGCCTCCTATCTCCTCAGGATATCCCTCCCTCATGAGGAGTCAGAATCCCAAGGTCCAGCCCCAGACTTGGAAATCCGGCAAGCAGAATCTGCTGGTGAGTGAGGAGTCACTCGGAGAGCCTGCCTGGGCACGGGCATGTCCAGATGGGGTGCTAAATGGGGCTCCCCAGGGACAACCAGCCATCACGTGCCCAGAGCCTACTGGAGGACGGTGACATCTCTGGGATGTGGGGCAGCAGGAGGAGGCAGCAGTGGCCTGAATACCTGCACACAGCAAAGGGCAGTAGAAACCCAGGGCTAACAGGCAGGGGGCCTGGGTCAGCATGTCCTTCTGAGCCTCAGTTTTCTAACCTATAAAATGGGCAGCCCTGGTTTTTTATTTGGCAGATGGTAGCAGGGCACCTATGCTTGTTGAATGGTGGCTTGGTTGCTGCCAGCTCTGGGAGTGGGAAATGCTCAGCCCAGGGACAGGCATCCTAGAGACGAGCCCCATATCCTCGGGGGCAGTGCAGGGGTGAGGGGTGGTAGTGTGCTGAGGCAGAGTCTACAAAGTTAGGAATAGATGTATTTGGGTTTTGGTAGCCAATGACGCTGAGCCAGGGCCACTGCGGAGCCAGAAGCATAGCCGGGAAGTTCAGCCTCCTGCTGCCTAAGGGCTCCTCCGGGGCTCTGCTTCCTCATGTTTATAATGTGGTGCCAAGAGGGGTTGTCCTAGCACCTGGTTGTCCTGCCACTGCGGACCCTGCCTGGCCCCAGCGGCAGGGCTGCCTTCACCGCTGGGCCTCCACCTCCGCGAAGGCTTCTCTCACGAAGGCCAGGCCAGGCCTGCTGACGGAGGCCAGCCAGCTGCCCCGGGATGTGGGCGGCGTCCGCTGCGGACCAGGCTCCAACCCCTGCCTTTGCGTTTGGAGCTGAGCCCAGGGAGGGCTTTGATCTGGGCCATAAGGAGTGACTGAGGCTGGTTCGGTCGGAGATCTTCAACTTTCTGGCAACTGAAACCACGTGAATGTGTATGTGATTTAGAACTGGGCCCAGGGTCACTGCAGCAGCAGGACTGCAAAAAGAAGGCATATGGAGAAAATAGCAGCTTTCTGTTGCTGGGCTGCCCCCATACTCTCCCACATCCCAGAGCCTGCATCTCATGGAGAAGACTCGGCACCGCCTGAGATACCTGGTACAGCAGGGCTCTGGTGTCTGCAGCTGGGGGAAGAGAGGCAGATAGTAACATGCCAAGAGGCCAGTGGGAGTCAGTCTGCCTGGGGTCTGACCCAATCCTCTCACCAACTTGCTATGTGACCCCATGTGCCTCAGTTTCCCCATCTGTAACACGAGTCAGAAGGCTGGGATAATTTCACAGCTCTTCCCACATCTCTCATACTGTGACTGTGAACCAGGGAGGGAACAGGGATGGGTGGGGCAGAGGGAGAGCACCCTGCCAGATGCCATGGGGCTCTCTGTTTCTGCCCAACCACCACTCAGACTCCTAAAAAGACAGCACTGTTCAGTGACTTGCAATCCGTTTTATTGACCTGGCATTCCTGAGAAAGACTGTAGCTTTTGCCAGCCAGTTCTGTTCCCTTTGCTTTATTAAATGCTTTGGGGTCCAGGCTGGTACCTGGGGTCAGGGGACCTGGTTCAGACTCTGCCACTAAGTAGCTGTGTGACTTTGCCTGTGTTATTCCTGCCCTGGGCCTCCCTTTCTTCCTGTGTTTATTAGGTAATGCCACTAAGGTCTAAGCTAAGGACACAGCCCTGCTTTCCACAGGCCCCCAGTCCTGCTGTGGACCAGACATAGGCAAGAGCTACTAGTAGATACAAGTTTCTAGGCCAGCAAGGCCAGGGACAAGGGCTGGCACCCTTGGTGTCCCCTGCATCAGGATCAGTGGGGTGTTTGCTGGCTCAGTCTCTGACCCCACTTAGGGACAAAGCCACTCCTGGGGACTCTCTGGGGCCCACAGTGCTTGCTTGGGCCGTCAGCAGCTAACTCGGGCTTTTCCATCCCAGCCTGGAGGGCAGCTTCTCAGGGCTGTGGCGCAGTGCCTGGGAGAGAGGGGAGTGCTGATCTGTGAGACTGCTGTAGAATGTAACACGGAGCTGGCAGGAGAGTTGCCACTCGCTCTGCCCTGAGAGGCACTCCCTGAATCCTGATGAGGAGCCAGGATGAGGGAGGAGGAAGGGCTGAGAGGAGGCCCATGGTTTGTGTTGGGCAGGACAGCTGCATTCCTTCTCTTCACCCCTCTGTCAGGGAGATTTATACAAGAGAGCAGAAGCAAACGCTTGAAGACCTTGAGACCCAGAAGCTGTTTGGAGAAATGCGTGGGGACGGTGGGTAGACTCTGGAACCCAACCTCTGGGCCTGGAGTCCAGGCTCCTCTGCTTACCAGCTGAGTGGCCTCGGGCAAGTTGCTTGGCCTCTCTGGGCCTTGGTCTGTTCATCTATAAAGTGGGTATAATAGCAGTAACCCACTTAATTAGGTGGTTGTAGAATCCACCTGCATGAGCAGCGCTGCGTAGGAGAAGGTGCTGTGTGAGTGGGAGCTGATGGTGCTGGCAGGGCCTTCCTGGGTCTCGGAGAGAAACTTTGATGAGGGGGCTGAGGCTCAAGCTGACCAACCAAATGACAGAAACAAACTCTAATTAGGATTTGGACCTGGAGGCTCTGATAACATTAGGGCCCAATCCTGATCACAGGGTAGATAAAGCTGGCAGGTTAGGCCACAGGCCTGTAGAATTGTTGGGGTTCAGACCACTGCTGCTTCCCGGAGGAGGTTAGGGTAGGGTGGGTCTGGCTAGTAAGCTCCACTGCCCTCCCTAACTCCTCTTGTTCCCTACAGTCTCACTACCGGCCATTCTACGTCAACAAAGGCAGTGGGATTGGGTCCAACGAGGCCCCGTGAGTCCCAGGCAGGCGGGAATGAGGCGGTGCTGTCCCTGCCCTCCCAGCTGACCCTGCTGCTCTTGCTACTGTTCTCATCTGCGTTGGAGGAAGACTGGTCCTGTGCCTGCTGTCCCCCAGCCCTCTGCAGCCTCTCAGGGCTGCCCTGGCCTCGCCCCACCTTCCCCATTAGCCACTCCATCCAGGCCACTCTCCTGTGAGAAGCTTCTAATGGTCACTATCTCTGCTGTGCTCAGAAGCCAAGCATTACAGGGGTGGGAGACCAAGGGCTTCTCTCCCCCAACCCACTACCTTTCTCTTCAGTGGGACCACTGGGGCTAGCAAGGGATGCCCACCTCTCTTGCCCACGTCCTTGCTGTCTTCAGGCCTGTTGGCCATTTCTCTCCAAGGACCCTTAGCCCGTGCTGCAGTCAGTAGGTGCCCAGCCACGACAGCTGCTCATTTCCCATCTTCATGAGCCCATAAGGGAGCCTGGCTGTTTGTGCTCTGCCCTGGGCTGCCTACCAATGCCCAGCCTGCAGCCCACGGCTTCCACAGGGAAGCTTCCCACTGTCTTGGAAGCATCCTTCCCAGTCTTGGGTCTCACCACATCCACCGAATCCGCAGCCCCTGAGGACTGCCCTCCTGCTGGCGGGTGCCTTAGCAAAACGTCACTTCCTCTCCCTGCTGAGATGAGAAGTTCCCGTGGCACCAGTGAAAGTCCTACTGGTCCAGCTGCCCTGAGGGAAATATCACTTACCTATAGCATCTCACTCGTTTTATGATTTTGAATTCCCCTGAAAGTGAGCATGGCAGTGAGAGTGTGGCTGGGCTGGTAACCACAGTGCTATTTAATGAGGTGCCTTTTGCACTGCCCCACCTCCACCCCTGCCCAGCACAGCTCCCCTCTGCCTGCCCTCTGTAGCGTGTTGTCATGGGGCTCAGGGCCTGGAGAGGAGACCACGCCAGGAGCAGCAAGGTGGGGCATTCTTCTCAGCCCCTCCAGGCCATGGGGCTGTGAGAGCTGGGCCTCCATGCAGGGGAGGGAGAGGGAGGCTCTCCTCAGCTCCCCAATAAACCGCCGATCACCTGCTTCTCTCTCACTGAACGTGTGTTGTCCCTCCGAGTCACCAGGGGGGCCGGCTGCAGCTCCTCCAAATACACTTTCCACACAGACGAGGTGGAAAGCGGCGACCATCTTCCCTCTTTCCTCCAAAAGAGGCTCCTTTGGGTCTCCATTCTACCCCTCCCACCCCCACCCGAGTCCCTGGGGAGCAGTGCAGGAGAGTGGACCTTTCTGAGGCAGGCCTTGGTTAACTGAGCAGAAGGGTGGACAGTGGCGGGGGTCCTGGGGTTTCCTGACTACCCCAAGGGCTGTGAGTGCTCAGACCCCCTGGCCAACCTACTCCCGTCTCCAGAAAGGAACAGGGTCCAGTAGTGTCCACTCAGGCTAGAGAGCAGACTAACCAGAGGCTTCAGACCTAAGAGCCTTCTCAGTATTGGGGGGACTCCCTGGCCCCAGGGCTGGCAGGAGAGCCGGGATCCCGAGGGCAGCGTCATACTGGGCTTGGGGCATGGAGGAAGAAAATGAGAAATTCCAGTCCCTGGGAGCCCAGAGAGGCCTGGAGGGACAGTCAGGGAAGGCTTCCTGGAAGAGGTAAGCAAGACAGGAGGAATATGACTGAATAGGGAGGGAAGAAAGTGCAGGAAAACCATACCCTTCCCCCTGGTGTGGCCAGTACCCTCCAGGCCCCTCCATTCTCATGTCCTTCCTTGCTCTGCTCCCTGGCAGAGGCCAGACGACACCAGGGAGCAGTCCCTCTATCTCCCCCATGAAAGTACCTACATGGTTTCACTGCTGGCTCCTCGTGGAGGGGAAACACCTTCTCTCCTCCCTTACCTGCCCCGCCCCCTTCCCAGAAAGAGGAGGGAGGAATGGATAAGAGAGGAAGACAGAGGGGAAAGAAGCAGGAGTGAAGAGAGGAAGGCGAGGGGCTGTCTGTGGACGACCTAAGGTACTGTCAGGAAGGAGGGACGCCCCCGGTGGGACTGGGATGCTTTGCCACCCCAGTGCCCTCCCTTGGGAGCTGGGAGCACAATGTTTCTGGGGTTCATTGCTCTCTGAAGCCCCTGCCGCAGTGCTGGTTCCAAGAACGATGCCCTCTGAGGAGTGCTCCCCACCCAGCAGGCCCAACTCCGTGGGCACCCAGTGTCCTGCAGCCTTCCCGAGCTGCTGTGGGGCCTGCAGTCCCTGTGGCTATGATGGTGAGGAGGGCCACACTCCAGGCTTCCAGGGATGCCCAGATTTTCTGAAAGGGGTCCTGGCTGCGCACATTTTGGGTCCTTTCACAAGTCCATCAGCTCCAGAGGAGGAGAAATGGACGGTGACCCAGGTTTGGCTGAGTTCCTCAGGCTGAAAGCCCTGGGGCATCCCGATCCCTGCCTGCCCCAGGCCTGGACCTCCCCAGGAGTGCCCATCTGCGGCGTGGAGGCGGGAAGGTAAAAAGACAAAGCAGCAGCACCCGGAGGCCCTGGGCCCTCTGCTGGGGCCCCCATGCAGGCGTCCGCAAGCATCCCTTTCTGCCTGTCAGTTCCCATCAGTTCGGTTAACGCTGGAGCTGTGATTATAAAGCAGTCGGGGAATCCTTTGTTTCCACTTTTTAGAATGCCCCCTCCTCAGCGTGAGTGAAACGTCAGGGAAGGGGCACGGCGGGGGCGAGAGGCACCTTTCCCCTGGTGGGGGGAAGGAGAGGAGCACACTCCACGCCCATCGCATCCCCTTCAGCCCAGCAAAGCCTGGTCTGTGCTTACCTGCGTCATGGCCTCACCCAGCTCCGGGCTGTAGGTGATTCCAGGAGTGCTCTGGACAGCCCGCTGGCAGATGGGAGGAGACCCACTGGGGTCAGGTTGGAGGAGGGAAGCAGAGCTGAGGCTCAGCAGGGGGCCCTGGCCAGGTAGTTGGCAACTCTCTTTCTGGCTCTGTCACTTGGGCTGTGTGAGCTGGACAAGCTGCTCGCCCTCTCTGAGCCTGACCTGCCCCATCTACAAAGTGACGTGTTCTCCCTGGGTCACCCCCAAGGCCCTTTCCCAGCTCTAGCAGTCTGTGGGGTAAAGACTACAGTGAGGGTGGTTGGAAGGGACTAGAAAATTGAGCTTGGTCCCAGGTTGGGGCTCCCTGATCAGGACGGGATTGAGAGCCAGGTGGATTGGACTCCCAAGTCTCTGAGGTTCCACCTACCCAGCTCCACTGCCTCACTCACTGTCGGGAGCCTGGGCCCTCTCCAAGCTCTGCTCTGGACCTGGGTCATCAAGGCCACCACGAGATGGACTCTGTATCAGCAGTTATTCCATCTAGTTTCTTAGAACTGTGCAGGAATGTGGACAGGGCTGCAGGCTAGAAGCAGTTAACTTGGGGAAAGATGGTGGAAGCAGAGGCTGAAATAAGCGAAGGGGACCTGGGGAGATACCCAATGAGGGCATCTAGGGTACTTCATCCTCTGGGCTTCCCAGGTGGAGTGCAGAGCTCGGAGCGTGGCTGCCTGAGCTGGAACCCTGACTGGATCACTCACAGGCATGTGACCCTGGGCAGGCTCCTCGGCCTGTCAGAGGGTAACAGCATCTCGAAGGAAGACTGGGGAAAACAAGTGTGTGCCAAGTACCTGGCACAGGAAGCACTCCAAAGCTGAGGTATGGCAATATAAATCCTGTTTTCCAATCGTCGTCAACAACGACAACGTCTCTACCTGGGACCAAGTCTGGCTCTTCCATCTTGTTAACTTTCTGCACTGGACAGGAGGGACCCGGCGGGGCAGCGGGGTAGTTTCCCATCTCTTTTCCAGCCGGGAACAGCCCTGGGGCTCCCTGCAGTTCTGAGATGTGGCCAGAAGGTGACAGAATTTCCCTGCAGTTGTCAGGCACTAAGCCTCCCCTTGCCCCTGGTCAGGACTGGCCACACGCCTTCCACAGGGACGGCCTTCTTCCCTCCTCCTGCACGGACTCAATGGGCCTTGCTGTCCTAAGCCGTGGGCCGTGTGGCTACAGGATGACAGGTCCCCAGTTGAGCAGGAACAAGGGGCTTGCTGCTCACCTCAAACTCTGCCCAACCTGGCATGGAGGCTGCGGGGCAGCTGCGGGGCCAGTCCCCTCCATGCTGGCACTGCTGCCCCTGAGCTCCCTCTGTGGGCCAGAAGGTGGGCCCGAGGGAGAAGGCTGAGTGGGCATGGCAGGCTCCTCCTGCAGCCTCTGAAGGCAGGGGGCTCTGGACAAGGCCGACGCAAGCCAGGGGTGAGATGGACAGGCAGGGTCCGGAACCCAAGGTACTGAGGCGCTGAAAACTGCAGAGTCCCTTGACTTCTGTTATACTCAGAGCTCCTACCTGGGGAACAGGGACGTTTGTACCTTCCTTCTGATTGGCATAGTACAGAGCACAGAACGGTAACTGGGCCCGAGGAAGGGGTGGGTGCCTGAAGGCAGAGGTGTGGGCCCAGTGCCTGCCCCGACCTCATTTTCCCACCAAACCCTCTGATCACCTCCCAAGAGTGGCCCAGCAGTTTTATGCTTCTGAGTACTGACTATTCAGTTTAAAAGTAAACTGCATCTCAGCCACAGAAATGAGAGATAAACACTAACTGCTGGGTGGATGTGCCAACTCCTGTTTCCTAACCCATCACCTCACCAGCTGAGGCTGTGAAGGGGCAGGGAAAGAAAAAGGAGCTGGGTCAGGACCCTGGGAACCACTAGAGCCTCTTACAAGAGGATGTGGCGGTACAGGGTGGGCAGAAAGCCTCCCTAGGGGTGAGAGTGATATACTGAGTCCCCAAGGCTCTCCATGAGGACAGGAGCCAGGGCAGGAAAAGGGGGAGGAGGTCTTTGGCTGCTCATGGTAATTAAAAAATTAATCCCAAGTGGGCTGATAATTTGCCCCCCCC